TGAATACCGAAATTGTCGAGCGGACGAATCACTCAACTGTCGCTCAGTGCCTCGTTAACTCCCTCAGTCTACTCTGGCCTGGCGGACTTCACCATGATAGGGTTCTTTTGCTTGTCACTGATGCGGCAGCCTATATGAAGAAGGCTTGGGAGGCTTTGGCAGTCCTTTTCCCAAAGATGCTGCATGTAACGTGCATCATCCATGGTATGCACCGAGTGAGCGAAGAAATACGTGGCGTATCCCGAAGGTTGACAGGCTGATCGCCAACGTGAAAAAAATATTCTGCAAAGCACCGGCACGTATCCAAACATTCCAAGCGATGCTCCCTCACGTCGCTCTGCCTCCGGCGCCCATCATAACGCGGTGGGGAACGTGGCTTTCAGCTGCACTCTACTACGCAGTTAATTTCGAGGGCATTCGGCGAGTCGTCCAAGCGCTCGACACGACGGATGCAGCCTCCATCAGGAAGGCCTAGGAGCTTTTGGCCGACGCTGATCTTCTGCCCGATCTCATCTTCATTCATGGCAATTTCTCGGAAATTCCCACACTCATAAAGAAGCTAGAGTGCAGCAGTCAGCCTCTGAGCAGGGCCTTAGAGTACCTGAGGGATTTCAAAAAGCTACTCGATATAGCGGCGGGTCCAAAAGCTGACCTGCTACGGGTTAAATTTTGGAGGGTGTTTGACAACAATTCGGGTCTGAACAAAATGATGCTTATAGAGAAGGTGCTACAGGGCGAGAAAATCGACGAGGAAATCTCTAATCTGAGCATCGCAGATCTATCGTCTTTCAGGCGCGCTCCGCTGGTCAGCGTTGACGTTGAGAGGTCCTTCTCGCTCTACAAAGGAATTCTCTCCGAAAGAAGGCATTCCCTCACCCGAGAGAATCTCAAATATCACCTAATTCAAATCATACTTATACATCCTGATTAATAATTAAAGCCTATCTTGCCTTTTTATACATTCTAATTAATAATTAAAGCCTATCTTGCCTTTTTTGACTGCCTATCTTGCCTTTTTTTAGTGCCTGAGTTTCCAAGCTCTACCTGATCAGCAAGTCCTCAAACTGGCATACTGTACACTGGATGAGGATTCGAAGATCTGGTTCGTGGCCGACATAGGGACTCGATCTACGTGGGCGTGTTTCAAGGATAAGTTCCTGGCGCGTTTCCCGGAGGGGAGTAGAAGGTCTCCGGCTGAATACTACAGTTGCAAACGGCTACTCAGCGAACCTGTGACTTCCTTCATCAGGAGGAAACATTCTCTGTTGATAGAAGTGGGTGTTCCGTTTGTCTTCGAAGACTTCGTTGACGAGATCCGAGCGTCTTGCGATTCGCGTGAATTCGCGAATTTCGTGGCTTCCGCAAGTCCCAGAGACTTCAAGTCATTGATGCAAATGGCTGATAGATACGTCTTTGTGGATAATCGGGAACCATCCCTCGACGTTGTCGAGGAAAGCCTGCATTCTGAGCATGGAATCCGCTCGCTCGTCCATGAATCCAAATACTCCGACGCTAAGCACTCATTCCAATTGCGAGTTCGATAAGAGCAAAGCAGGATTCTAGACTATCGCCGAAAATTGAAAACCTCCGAGACGGCATTCCGCTGGGGAAATATGCCCTCGAAGAGAATCTTCTCCATCGAGATGGAAGCTTGTGCGTCCCTAGTTCTCTGAGTGAGGAAGTTATCATGTCGTGCCATGATAGGGGAAATCCAGAGCATCCCGGAATCCGAGTACCGGAGCGTCGCGTGCGAGAACGATTTGATCTTGGGAGACGACTTCGCCGTTGTGTGAGGGACTATGTGAAGAATTGCCTTATTTGTCAGCTTCGTCGGCGTCCTGGCCGAAGCAGCGAGGTCTCAGAGTCATCCATGTTTGTGTCGTCGTTCCGACAACCAATGATGGCAAGACGGTTTGATCGCTCAGGAAGGATCCGAAAATTGCGAGAATGTGTCGAGACGGAAGCGATCGCCCCGTGTTCCGCTCAGAGTGGGACATTCGTCGGAGGTTCGTCGCAAGTTAGATGCACCATTTATGAACCTCTGTTACCCTCCCCGCAGCGGAAAAGTCTGCAACGACCCTTCGAACGAGGACGTTCGGAACCGGTAGCATGGCCGAATGAAGCGGCGCCCGTAGCGCCATCTCACGCTTCTATAAAAGCCCGTGCTAATTCACAATAAACCATCGTTGCTAACCCCACCTTCGTTATCTGAACGCTACTATATGAAGAATTCGTTGAAGGCACGGGGTCGTTCGAAGAAGACGTCACGTTACCCACAGGCTCAGAATCGTGGAGCACGTGAATCAATGAACTGTACTATACTCAACTTCGGTCATCGTTCCTCTCCTTTGTACCGAACTAGCTGGCTGGCTTGAAGGGGGAGTGAATGAATTTTCCGATCGCTTCGAAAATCATTCGATCCACGAAGGAGGTCTTCCGTCATCGCGGAAAAATTGGTTGCGGGCGAAGAGGTGGATGGGCAGAGGCTCAGTGAGAACTACCGGCACAAAATCGATTGATTAGGGTGGCGGGAGACTGAACTCTACCGCTTAATCGGCGGGCGTCCGATACGAATACCCCCGAATGGGTCTGGGACACTCGACCCATTCTCCTGCAGACATACATTTTTTGCGCCAGGAACAAAAAATTCATTTTATTACAATAAATCCCTCGGAGACGCTCCGGTGAACGAGTCTCTATATTGCTCGCGGAATCTTGAGCTCTCTCTGTCCTATAGGTACTTTACTTGAGAATCGTAGTTCTTCCTTTCAGCGGATCACTCCAAGGTGCCATATCCTGGCGGCGGTGTCTGTGAACACATTTATCGGTGCTTGCAAGATATGAATGACTTTTCTGACGATCTTCCGCTTGAGTCGTCGTGGATCGAAACCTAATCCCATCCCTATTCTGGTGAGACTCTCGGCTGAGCTATGGGTTTTGTCCTGTATCGTGGGATTATCTTTGGACAAAGCAACCGTGGAAGAGGGGTCAGTGTAGAGCTTGCTTCCTTGGGAGTCAGAGATTCCCTCTCCTCCCGTGCTATCGTCGAGACTGTGTGTTGCGACTCCCATGGGAAACCCAACACCGGGCGAGTTTGTCGTGATGGAGTTCAAGGAGTCGCCGACTCCGATTGGGCTCGGGCTCCCGGATGCAGTCGCGAAGCTCTGTGAAGAATTCGCTCCTCCCTTTGATCGGTAGCCGGCAGCGATGCCGTTCCCGTCGTAGGTCGCTCTAACTTTCACTGTGGGCTCAGTGATCTCTAGTCCCGGTCCCGACTTCTTTACCGTCGAGCTGCCTTGCAGGTTTCCTATGGTGTTAGCGCTGAGCTCATTGTCTGTGTTTTCGGATACGTTCACGGGCACGACGGTCCCAGTCGGACTTGTCCCGGGGGCAGTCCCGACCCCATTGATGGTCATCGAAGACTCCTCCGCTGCGGAGTCGACGGTGCTACTTGCTTCTGAAGTCTCTTCTGCCCCGTGTAGCTCTGGGAGCCCGGAGCTCCCGGGAGCAGCTGCAATTTGAATCGGTGTGGGTTTATTTTTCGTGCATGTATTCCCGTTTTGTTCTCATCAAGCTCGCGGCTGCGAATCCGAGAAGGCGTCCCGATTCCCCGACTGCACTCTCGGAACTCGGGTCACTCCTTGACTCTTTCTCCTCATTTTCCCTCACGATACAAAACGCATCGAAATTCAATTGCGTCGAGACATTGAACGGTGAACGCAATATCGTGGAGTCCTGAGTCTTCAAATGCGACGGGAGACGTGAAAATCATTAAGACGCGGAGAGATCTGTACATTATCGAGAGAAGGGGAGCAACCTCCCTCAAATGCGCCCTCGACAATCCCATTTCAGCTTCCTGGAGAGGCTCGGGCTCAGTTGCGAGTCGGTGAGTACGCGCAGGGCGAAGGAGCGTCCTCGTATCTCGTCGTCGCGCTCGTCCATCTCCTCCCTCAATAATTCACTATCTGACTTAAAGTGTTTTTCTTGGCCCTCGCGTCGAGCCCCAATCGTCGCCGTAAATGCAGTGTTTATGAATTCACGGCGACACATCAACTCACCTGACGTTGTCGGTTCCTCCACCGTGATTTCACGTCTAGATTCAGTCACCACGGATGTTTCATAGTCCTCGGTCGGCAAAACGGATTCCTCTGCGATGACAAAGAATTCGGATCTCCCTCCAATTCCTCAGGGACGACCCACGCGGTCGAAGGAAGCATCCTATCAACTCACCGGTCCAGATCAAGCCGTCTTCCGCTCGATTCTCTTCCTCGGACGACTCCCAGGTCCGATTGGATGGACGGTCAAGCCAATATGATCCCCCTCGGATGCGTGAATCGTCTATCGGCGCAGCAACAACCGCCCCGAGAATCGTGAGGCAAATCAACCGCCGAAGAGCATTCATCTGATCGAGGGTTTAACGCAGCTGACTCGCCTTCAGCAGCGCATGAAGACCAACAGACTGGTGATGTTTGTTTTCAGAGAATCGTGCCCTCTGCGGTCGCTCTGGAGTTTAAATAATCTATTCGAGACCTCCTCGTACGAGTAGGAAGTTGATGAGCTCATCGACGAGAATAACATGGGGAGTTTCGTTTCATAATAACCGTCCAAAAAACTTTTTCGGGCTGATCCACACAGCCAAGGTTTAACGTCCCGGGTACTGTTATTCACATTGCTTCCGAGGACGGATCCATAGAGCAAATGTACCCAGGAGGATCAAGGCCGAGTACCTGCATATTTTTCCGGCAGCAGGGATCGAACCCACACCGCCTCCCGCGCGAGCGGCGTCGTTGCGGCTATGCACGTTTGCACGAGAAGTGACAAACGCGCTAACCACTCGACCACCCGTCGGTATAATAACCGTCCAGGGCGTTTCGAACTTTCGCGCGCTCCGCTCAGGTGATTTCTCTTACAGCTGTTCGACCGGTCAGTGGCACACCGGGGCCCTCCACAGGAGCCACAGGAGCAAGGTACTCAGAAAATTGAACGCGTTGAAGTGGTCATTGTACCCAGTACTCTCGAGATTCAAGTCTGTGATCCGCTAGAGCGATCTCTCCCTAATTGGCGAATCAATGCCACCACGGATAGTTCATCTCCGCGTCGGTTCGATTTGATAAGAAAAGCATAGTGTGAGGGTCCAACCGAAAACAATCGCTGTTCAACACGCTTTGGGTTGAAATTTCGAACGATCTTCATGCCATGCATTCCCTTTGACCGTGCCGAGCACGCTCGAGATAGAGACCCGATGCCGTGCCATAGTCGGAGCTCCGATTAGATTCTTGATGTGATTTTCCTCGCAGATGCCTCGATCCATGGTCGTCCTCGGCGGGGGAATCTCAGGGTTGGCCACGGTGTTCTACTTGACTCGTATACCCGCGATCAGACGCATCACCCTAGTGGACAAAAAAGCCCGCCTAGGCGGCTGGATTCAGAGTACGAGGTGAGTCGCTGAGCCAAAGATTCGACTTCGAATCCCCTCGCTCATTCCCGACATTCTAGCTCCTGTTGGTCCTGTTGGTGGAACCTGAGCGATTATTCTCTAATTCAATTTGCCGATTCAAGATATCCTTGCGGAACGGTGGACGAGCACGGACCGCACAGTATTCGTAGCGTCGGCCCGGCTGCCAAAAATACATTCACATTGGTAAGTTAGCATCAGCGAGTGTCAGGGTGAAGTTTGCATCCTGAGTGAGTAGGGGCCTCTAACCTGGAAATTCGAACAAAATCCAGATCGAGCAACTCGGTCTTGAAAAAGAGCTCATCCCAGTGGCACCGAATACTCTAAGAGGTCGTCTCATCTACTACGATAACGGGCTCCACTGGCTCCCGTCGACGTTCGGCGACCTCGTGAAGATCCGAAAGCCCTTCACGGTACCTCTGATCTTCCCCGTGGCGAGAGAAATCCTCCGAAAGCCTGAAGCGAGTGAAGATGAGAGCTTACACAGCTTCGTTCGCCGGCGCTTCAATGCTCAGCTCGCAGATTACGTCATCGACCCGATGTGCCGCGGTATCTGTGCTGGAGACTCGAAAGAGATCAGCGTGCGCTCCCTCCTACCACAGGCCTTCCACGCGGAGAAAATCTACGGATCCGTCGTGAGAGGCTTACAGAAAAGTGAGTCGGGTGATGAGATGATTCTCCTAGCGCTTACGTGTCTGTGAACGAGCATGAGTTCTGGAAGAAGGAAAATTCGCCCGAAACCCTCAAAGCAAAATCTTCTCCTCAGTGAGCGAAAACCCGAACCCCACCGGACTTGCCAAGAGGGCCCGAGACGAGAAATGGGGCGCCTTTTCGTTCCAGCAGGGTCTTCAAACGCTCATCGATAAATTGGTCGAGCACATCGGCAACGATCCACGCGTAACCATCTACGAAAACGAAGATAAAGTCCAGCTCTCTGAAGATAACGGGACTTTCACGGTCCGCTACGCCGGAGGTGAAACCGTAGCTGATCATCTTTTTGCCTGCGTCCCAGCGAAAGGTGATTTTCTTCGCTCAACTCTATTCGACTCATTCCGGAACTCGTTTCATTACGCAGTTGTGCGAAAGATCTCCATGTTACCATCGGGATGCACGGACTGGGGACGAGTAGAGATGACCCCGAGAATTTCTCCCGCAGCGCTTTCGAGGATGATGTCCCGAGTGGAGCCGAGCATGTCCACCGTGCTCCTCGAGATTCCCATAGCACATGTCGTGTCCTGCACTCTCGAGTTCCCCGGGCACCTTCTGAAACACAGAGCGTTCGGATACCTTGTACCGTCATCGCAGAAGAGCCGAGTGCTGGGAATGATTTTCGATAGCTGTTGCTTCCCCCAACACGACGGACAGTTCATCAAGAAAACTCGAGTCACGGTCGGTAACTTAATTTTTCGTTTCGAAACTGAGGTCTGAGCTCGGCTCGCATCAGATAGCAATCATTCGACAATGAACATTTGGACCTAATCCGAAGGATTCCCTTTCGCCAGTGTTTAATGGGCGGTCGGTGGTTCTCGGAGTATTTCGGGGACATAAAGCAAACGAACGAGGCTCTTTTCGCCGAAACCGCCCTGGAAGCGTGCAGGGATCATCTTGGAATCACGGCCAAACCTATCCGAGATCTCACGAATATACTGCCGGTGAGTTTCCCGTGCGGAGTTTCACGATATCGGATGCACTTGGGTCGATGTCTGCTAGGAACTCGCTCTAAGCTCTCATTCTTGCAGAATTGCATCCCCCAATACCAGGTGGGGCACTACAAGACAGTCGAGAAACTGAAGAGCATCATCGCCGAGCGGAAGCTGCAAATGAGTCTTTTGGGATCGTCGTACGAGGGACTCTCCGTGAACGATTGCATTTTGAACGCCAAGATCGCTGTTGACCGGCTGGTCGAAGAACAAAAAATAAACTGATTCCTCTAATCGGGCAGCTGGAGGATCTGTCCACTCAGGTTTTCCAATGAGCTCGAGCCGCCATTATGAATGGAAGCTCGTTGCAGCCATGATCCATGACCCGCTGAGACCGAGTCGAATTTGATCCTTGGACAGAAATTCGAGTCCAGGATGGTTTCCGAACGAGTGTTTTAGAGACGAGAGTCAGATTGAAAAAACGCTATAATAATCTAGATTATGCATCGATGTGATTTGCTCAGTGCCTCGAAACCATCCGATTGTTCCCCAGAAATGAGTCTCTTCTTGGCAGAATGAGACGATGAGCAATTACTGTCTCACATACTCTCTTTATTTGAATATAATATATATTACAGTAGAAGAAATATTTATGCTTTCTTGGAATAGGCATGTCTCTCGGATGAGAGGGTGGATAAAATTTTGATTTCCGTCAGTCGTCCCCGACTTCAAAACGCATACTCCAATGCAACTGACACAATCCGAATCTCGGGAACACCGGAGCAGCTGTCTCGTCCGCTAAAAAGGTCCGTATCGAGTACAGGGAATATCGTGATGTTCCTCTCGGAGATGCTCGATAAAGGTTCGGGTACATGTTACATAAAACAACTCAGGATCCGTCTTTCGGCCTCTCGAGTTTGCCGTTCTCTGCCGAAGCTCTGGCTGGAGTCGTTGCTCTTATCTAGACCGTCGCGAAAAGAGTACTCAGTCAGTGGAACAAATATCCTCGTCACCGAATCGGTATCTGATGGTGACGGCCTGACGTCCCGGAACGATGTGGTCCAATTTTTTCCGAAACTTGGATCCAGTTTCATTCCCACTGTGAGACCCGGATGAGGCAGCAACCGAGGACGCTGTAATCCTTCAAGCGCATCCCATCCATGTTTTTTTCGGCAAGCGTGGGTATCCCGTATCCAGGGCGCCCCCATATTTACTCTGTCTCCTGGCCGACTCGCACACGTCTCACTGGAATGGAATGAGTGGATTTCATGTAATCGTTCTAGATGAGCGTCCACTTCGCGAGAGCCATAGAACTAGCAAGTCGGGCTGGGGTCGGTTAACGCATATGACTCACATCGGTCGCGGTTTTCCTGAAGTTTCCTCGAGATTCTGACTCGAGCGTCTGCGACGGCCAGCTCCAATCCAATCGACAGGAGAGAGCGGTTTTCATCTACCAGTCGCGCGATTTCCATCTCAATCTGTGGAGTTTGAGAAAACGATAGGACTCCTCCTTGACTTTTGATTCATAGGAATTTTTCGAGCGACCAAGTCGTAAGCCGCGCGCGTGCGTCATGCGATCGAAAGAGAGAACCTTCCTTGCAAGAGGGTACGCCCGTGAGCGGCTACACTTGAATTTTTTTGCGGGAAGCTAATGATTTTATGAGTTGTCAAGGCGTCTTCATGGCCTCCCTCACCTTATTGCCGAGAATCGAAGGCCGTTGGTTTGCTGCACGAATCTCAGTGATGACGTTGTTCTGGAGCGCAGCCTCAATGATGTTCTAGAAGAGAAAACTCGCTCATTGAACGTACAAATATCGTCTGACTGTAAAACTGCCTCCGGAGCTACACCTGGCGTCGCATCTATGGGTGATCTGTGTCGTCTTTCGATTCGGAGGACTCACCTTGAGCATATTGCCGGATATGTAGTTGGACTCCACATTGAGGATCTTCAAGGTTTTGTATTCTTTCAGAGCCTCGACCAACATTTCCGCGGTCGAGTCAGTGAGGTTGACGTTGGCGAGAGATAGCGACTTGAGGTTTGTGTTGCGCTTGAGCCCATCGAATAGTGTTTTGAAATCCTCTCTCTTGGCCGTCCGGATGTTGTTCCAATTGAGCTCTTCTATATCGTCGTCGTCATTGTAGACCTTCGGAGAAGTAGAGGCTCGGTGAGATTGGGAAATTAGGTAATTCTTCTTCTCCCTGTCGACACTGTCGCTTCGAACGCTGGTGCCTACCTTCTGTGCGGTTTTCGAAGTATCCGTCGCATTGTCGGGCAGGAGAGGCACGGGCTTAGGCATCGAAGCTTTCACGAGGGACTCGAATGTGGTTCCATCGAGTTGTCCCTTGTTCTGGATCGAGGCGTGGTACTGTTCTTGCGAAATCATGCTGTGAAGCCCCAGGATCGCTTTACCGAGAAAGGGAACGCCACGTGAGGACCCAAGGAACCGATATTCGGTCACATTTTTAAGCGGTCAGATGAGTGAATGAATAGGGCGGAATCATCGCTACCAACCTGCGAAATCTACGAGTTCCGCGGGCGTCGCCTTCTGTAGAGCTTTCTCGGACTCGTCGTCAAGGTCCAACTCGACAGCGATATCGTCTTGAGCCAATTTCGGTTTGACGACTTCGGGAGCTTGCCAAATTTTCCCTCGCTTGATACCGGCTTCGAAGGGTTTGAACTCCGGCCAGTCTTCCTGCTCCTTAGCGTATTGTTCTGGAATCAGAAAATACATCGTTCGCATGGCTTCGCGAGAAAATTCCTCCGGGAGCATCTCCTGCGAGGTTCCTCGCCTCTCTGTTACGGCATCGCATGTGACTAAGATCTGAGGCAGAGCGTCTCGCGCCATTGACTCGCTTCACGGGCGAGCCGGCCGGGCCGTCCGCACTGAACCATGGGAGTTCAACAGAGATACCTCGGGAGATAATCGAGCAGCCAGGGCCATCCGGTCGGCACACAGATCGGCCAGGCAAAACGAGCAAGGGAATTGAATTTCTATGAGGAATCGTTCCAAGCGACCACGGATGGAAGGAGGACGGCAAGGAGCGAAATATTGTTCCCCAAATGCGGATACCACTGCTCTCTTATGAAAAGCTCGACAGACTGACAGAATTCATCGAATCTCCTGAATCGGATACGGCATCTGTACCCTGGGAGAGAACTCGGCTTCGTGTACTACGAGAGCTCAACCTTCATGAGGGATATGACCGGCGATCGCAAGCTGAGCTGAGCAGATAGAGGTAAGCACTAATAGCTTCGCGGAAACCTTCCTTATATACAAAGCAAAAAATTCCAGCTGAATGAGCCTTGCCAAGCGAGCGGAGTTCCGGTACATCGAAGATCATACATAGGTACGGTTCCATCTACCGATTCGGTCCGAAACGAGCATAGAATCCGACATGGAGTTTCAGGAGAATCCGATCTCAAGGAAATGTAATTTTCCGACGAGTTTCGAGGACGAGCCGATACCCCGCTCTCGAAGCGAAAGAGGCCTCCAGAATATTCCGACTCGAGAGCCGATATTGACAGCGATGCTTGTTTTGACGGAAGACAAAACAAGCCTTTCGTGTCTGAGGCTTTGAAACATTGCCTCGAGACTCTCCGAAAGCAGTCGGAGCTCAAAAGCCATCCGGAGATTCTGGGTCAGTTCCTCGTCGCTCTGGCCGAACCTTGCATACTCGGACAAAGATACTCGAGTACCTATTTCAGGGGACCCCGGCGGACAAACGGAACTGACTGACTGAGTCGAGTGAATGAATGGATGACAGGTTCCGTAGCGAGAGGAAGGTCTGACGACAAGACCATTGATCAGCTTGACAAAATCGGTTCAATAGGTCCGCACACTTCCTCATTTCAACCGTTTCAAATCATCTGAATGCGTAGATTAGGTACCTTCGAAGCCAAGCGGGCTGCCCGTTGAATACCTCCTCGGTCAATCATCTGTCTTCGGAATAGGAATTGTGCTTGACCAAGCGGAAATGTCAATCTGACTCAGTTAGTCTAACCAATCATGGCCCGGCCGAATGGGTCTGCGGTATGTTCTACCGCATCGCCTGGACCTACAGTGAGAAATAAGATTCACTCACCCAGGTAGGTGAGCAGTTTCTTGCGATTCAAGGGTCCTGTGGGTGCTTTGCTGGTTTGATTCTTGCATCGTTCACTAGGAGGAATGAGAGGATCGTCGGGATCGACCTGAAATGTCGGAGTCTCATCCATTATAGGCGAATCTTACTTCGGAAATGCGAGAGCTGTTCGCGGGAAAAGCGCCTCAAAAATATGTATCGGAGAAGCCACTTTCCCCCTCAGGAGGGCGAATTCTCCAGTAAAGTGCTTACCATTCCCACAAGCTGCTCCAGCTCGCTCTCATTGAGTTGCGAGAGCAATTCATCTATATCCATCTCGCTGTATTTGCGAATCATGTCATTCTTCATAGCTTCGGCCATGGCGATGCTGACAAAAAAAAATCGTCAAGGAGACAATTCATCCACTGGATGCCCGAGAAAGCTCCTCGATTGCGAGGACATCCATTCATTGTCCAGAAGCTGACAATTTACGGAACAATTTGTGGTCGATAAGGGGTAAGTCCAACTTGCTGAGAAGGATTTGGCAAATAAAGGTATAAACTTTCAAAATGAGCGGCACTTCATATCTCGGCGGATTGAGGGTGAATCGGAGGATTCGGACCGATGACGGTTCTCCGAGGTCGACCATCCACGGCTTGAACTCCATCAGTCTCGAGTTGTTCCCCGCCCCAGAGACGTCCCCACCCCACTGCGAGAGGGAGGCGTCACAGGACCTGGAGAGAGCGCATCTGCACACGACAATTTGCGCGCTCTTATTACAGGGGGATTCGTCAATTCCAGAAAAACACCTGGGAACTCCAGAAAAGCATCGCGAAAATCCCGCGAGAAGATTATCCGAGCGAAAACACTTCGGGCGAATCCTCCCAGATGCTCGAATGGAGATGGCGGCACCATGTCGACGATTTGCTGGTGCTGCTGACCGGCGACAATTGCAAGTTGGAAAGTGTGCGGTCTCGCTTTCAGTCTCATCTCGATGCCGACGACCCGATCTGTGAAAACATTGTTCAATCGCTCATTTGGGGCGATTGCCCATCCTATTCAGGAATCTCACGTCACGAGTCTCGGCCGGGGTCTGCATATAGGACTGCAAACTACGGCCAGAATCCCGGATGGGGCAGCTCAAGTCGTGGTGTGAGCGCTACAGAGACAGAGCTCTGACTCCCGAGAGGAAGAGAAGATCGGAAACCCCCTCGGCGAGACATCCCGATTCTCGGAACTGATGAAAGCCGCTCGCGAAGTCCACAAGAGTTCTGGGGTCGGCGAGATCGATTTTTTACTGAGGTATCAACCATCTCTTGCAAATAAGTTATTCTCTCTCAAATAAACTATCACATGAAAGCCGATGATGGCGTTTTGCTTTCGGACGTGAAACGTCGAGGGCATCGAGCGCTCTCAAGTCTGTGGCGCAACGCCTGTGGTCGATGAAGATTGAAGCGAGAAGTATAGCGTCCTCACGCGTTCTCCGTATTCAGAGCGCGAGTTCGTTCTCAACAGGCTCTCGCGACAGCGTTGTAGCTCTTATGAGTCCCTCATTCGAGTCGAAGAGCTTCGACCTCGCCGATATATAGACGGTTTATTTCTGACAGCACTCGTCATGGCGAAAGAAAACATTTTGTGACAGGCCTCGGAGACGGTGCGCGCGATTCTCGCTCGGGCGCTCAAAAACTCTCCGTCTTAAAAATCAATCAGATGTTCTGGATTCGTATCGAGAGCGATCCCGTCTCGCGGGGAAATGAACGAAAACGTTCCGGGAGGAACTTCCTTGTTTCTGAACATCGGAGCTCCGAATCGAAACCATGGGCTCATGTGTTCCGGAGCCTTTTGGGGATAATGAGAATGTAACGCGAGTTTCAGGTGATTCTGCCCGACTCAGAGAGTAATTTTGGCAATCTGGTCCTGTGTTGTTATGCAACCTGACCGATTCTTCTTCCAGCAGAAACAATCTGGCCGACTGTTCTCTACCGGGTGCTCCGCTGTCTATCAACGTGGACCTCTATCTGAATTCATCTGGCAGCACCTCCAACGAAGCCGATCTCGGCTTCATTTTTACCTCTGCCGAATTCTTCAACCCAACTGTCGCCTGTTTTTAGTCTTCTACGTCTCTAGAGCATCGTCCGTTCGGGGAAAGAGTGGAAAAGGCCGACAGGATAGCGAATTTTTCAAACGCAGCCAGCACTTCCCGTTAAGCATAAGCAGGTCGATCTCTTTCTTCGGAATCCAAGCCCGCAACGAATCCCTAACTTGTTGGGCGGATCTGGCGACAGGCGAGCACGGTACGGTTTCCCTTCGATAAGAGCTCGTTCGCACCCGTCTCTGGACTTTTATATCTCCACGGGCGTTCCGCAGCCACACCCACACCCGAAAACCTCCGTATCGGAATACTCACGCCGGTCTCTCCGAGAGCTGTATGAAAGAGCTCTTTCTTCTGCCATCGCGGGACGCATCGGAAGACGAAGTGGATACCCTGGTGGTTACCTTCGTCGTCCTCTTATGAGTTGTCGTTTTAACGCTCAGGACACTCATCTTGGAACCCTTTAGAGTTAACTCTTCGGACGACCCGTGTCTGTGTCACCGACGTTTATCCCAGAGCACACTCAGTTTCCACGTATCCGGTAGCGAATCACTCTCAGAAATCAATCCAGACACTGGAGGAACAAAGAACTCCCGGGTGAATCTCCACCGGAAAGGTTCGACTCCCCACCAAAACACAATGTTGTCCGTTCACAGGCAGCACTAGTCTTGCTCAGATCGACACCGATGCTCTTCGGAACCAAACAAACTCATGTCTCAGACTCAGAGGCCCCGGGAGAGGCGGTCGAGAGCCCTTTCGCCGGCACCTTAAGGAAGATTGAAGCGGGAACGCGCAGCTCACTCGGTTCCTGTGCCCAGCCAGCCGAGCAGTCAGTCGCGCGAGCTGACACAGACAGACTGAGAACGTCGAACGTTCTCACAGTCTGCTCGAACCTTTTAGCCCCGAACGGGGTAGTACTTCGACATGCGAGCAACCTGTACGCTGCGAAGTACTGACGAATTTGTCCTCACGGAGCGATGCAAATGACGAAGATGCGGCAATTTTCTTGGGCTGTTGGGGAAGGGGGAAACGGAACTCTTATCCACAAATGGATTGGGGGAGAGAACCCTGGTCCACACCGAGGAGACTTCACCCAATATCATTGACCCAATAGGTGGAACTCTTTTCCACTGCATTGACCCTCTCGCTGTTTACACTCGAGAGTGTTTACAGTGAGTTCCACATGTCGATCGCCTAGGATGTTTTTAACCAGGTGACGGAGAATATCCGACCCGAAAACACGCCTCGCTTTTGTCGTCACTCTCGGCTCGCGGTCCGTACTCGAGGTTCCTGTCGTCACGGGGGTAGGTTTCCATTGATGAGACAGCGCCGAGTGGGTCAGCGGCGAGAGTTGGTCATTCAAAAGCGCGTCATTACCGCGCCGAGAAGAGCTTGGTCTTCGCTTCTCAGGCGCTCGGACTGTCAATTACCCATTCAAGATTCCGGCCGCTTCTGAAGCGTATCATCCCGTCGAAACTAGATCATGGGGACAATTTTCCTCCGTCACCGGAGCCGAGTCGCGATGGAGCGATCATTGAATTTCATTGACGAAAAGATGGATTCCTGCTAATCCTCCGAACGCCTCGTTGGCTAATGGCGTGAGGTAACCGCGTAGGTTTGAGAGAATACAAAGAAGAAAAAAGCGAATGCACCCAGCGAGAGAGTTCATCGCACAGGGCGATATTAAGGTCATCACAACCCTGCGACAAGCCGCGAGCAATGCCAAGCGTTGCGCAAGATCTGCACAACGGGACCCTCGCGCCGATAAGCTCAGACAGACCCCGACTGATCTTCGAATTTCGTCCTCGAAGCTCGAAAGTGGGGCCGCAACCTCGATCCTCATTCCCAGATCTTATCCACGGATCAGAACCTTGGCGAGAGTCGCGGGAGAAATCGTCAGAAAACCGATATCGTACAAATTCTATCAGAATCTGATGATACATGGAGATGAGACGAGCCATCCGGCCTTCCCCGGAAGCTTCAATGTCATCGTCAAGGCTTCCGTCTCGGTGGTGCCATAAAGAGATCGCAAAACTGTGCTGGTAAGCAAGGGTCTCGGACAGAAAGATCAGACGTGCTTGATGTCTTGCATAAAATAGAGACGATCTAAGTGAAGAGAATGATTGAAGCACACTCGAGAAACAGTGTCTTCCCAGAGCTTTGACGTCATAGTTCTCCACTCGTTGAGCTGTCGCGTAGTCGTACGGCCCTCGATCTGTCGGCTCGGCCACAGCAGACGTTCGCAAACTTCTAGAAACACAACAACATCGCCGTAGAAAGGTCGTCGGAGAATTCCAGCCATTCCTCTCCGAGCAGCTGACTGGGACATCCATCAATCATGCCGACCGGTGCACGGACGGGATTTCGTAATCACCGCGAATCTCCACTATGCTCCCAAAACGCTTCCCACGAAAAGAACATTCCCTCCGACTTCCACAAGCTCTCTGAGACGGGAGAGAATCTGGGCGATTCAATGCCGAACACGGACGTCGAGTACGTCTTGGCGGGAGCTCGTCTGATCCCGTGCGTTCAGTATCGCGTATCTCTTGCAGGACGGATCCGTCGGCCGTCGCGACCGGCGTCGACTGAAGAGCGAGCCGAGACGAAGCTGGATACCTCTTCCAGCCGATTGCGAGAGCTTTCCGACCGTAGGACTATCGTCAAAGACTCTCGACAGCTTCCATGCGCAAGCAAGCCATCTTTCGACCGCGAAACCTCCGAATGATTCGCCCATTGATGGACGCCATCAACAGTGAAGCGCCGGCACAATCCATTCGACAGCGAACGATTCTCATCGAAGCCCCGAGTAGAATCGAGTTCGCTTCGTCGAGAATGTCTCGCCTGTTGTGCGCACTTTGGCAACGCGGAGAGTTCATCAACCTCTGTGTCGGCTTTCCCGATCATCTGAGCTCGCCGCAGAGGGCTAGCCTGGCCTAGTTCCGTTCTGTGGCTTTCCACACCTCTCAGTTCAGAAATAGTTTTAGCAACCGAACCAGTAAGGCAAAGGTTAAGGGAAAGCAGGAACGGAGGAGAAACTGGTGCGAGAATCTATCGGATAATCCCCGCACACCCTATAAGAGAGGAATATAATTGCACCGTTCCATGGGTGCGGCGTATGAGCGGGAATCGGAGCTAATTGTCGACGCTGCCTCTCATCAGAGACCTTCAATAGACGCTGTACGATATCGTACGATGCGGTGAATGGCATCCTGCGCTCGATCGTTATCGTAGGGGGATGCCCTCTTGACTCATTCATTGTCAGGGTGGACAGCGAGGACCATCCCGAAGAGAAGGGTGTAAGGGACTCGATAAGAAAACCGATGAGGGTACAACCGCAGTCGCGGCGCTAGATTATGCAACGACTGGACGAATCACGAACTGCAGACAAGTCGCATACATCGTAGATTGTTTCCGATTATTCGTGGGCGTCGGAGTTTCGAGAAAGCCCTCGTGACCCTCACGCACGATCCAGAGCTTGGCTGCTGACCAGAATTTTTCGATTCGCACATAGCAAGGAGGCCCATGCTGAATTCTGAAGATTACAAAAGGAGTGTCCTTGGAGAGAAAAGAATTAGCGAAAATCAGAGACTTCATAGGCAGACAGCTTCAAGGCTCTCCTGCGTTACAAACGGTGCAGTCGTTATCGCTGTCGCCGTGAAAGCGAGAGCTCGACTTCAAACTTGCTGACCTAGTCTTCGAGAGTCGATGGCCGCATTGACAATCCCTAAATAGACGCCGAGACGGATTGTAGACCAATGAACCAGGGAGAAAGTTCGAAGAGCTCAGCTCTTGTCGGAATATGGCCTGCAACATGTGAATTATTCGCTGATCAGGCGAGACGTGAGCCTATGGCATGATGCCTCAATCGTCCGACAAGCACCGCAGGTTATCTCATTCTGGATCGGAGCACCAAATCGTAAACCCGAGAACGAGATACCGACGGCAGAAGAAAATTCTGAGCAGAATTCCTCCAACCGAGAGCTTCTCGATGGTGACAATTCCGATTCTCGCATAGACACGGCGGTCTTCCGGGAGAACCCATCTCAATCCCGGACCATCCCATGAATCACAATGGAGTCATGCTCAGGAAGAGCTTAAGCGATCTTTGTCGAATGTTGACAGAAACGCGGACGGTAGCGAATGAGCACCGTTCGCAAACAATGGGAGTGTCGCGTCTTCGCGGCATCTGATCCAAGTTCGCGTCTGACCTCAACCATGACGAAATCCTCCAGCGTCACTCATGATTCTGCCCTAAACTTCCCGCAGCTCTCAGCACGCTGGTCAACCGACTCGGTCTACCTCAGAGCGAAAAAATACCTAGGTGCGTACCGAGCTCGGTACTGGTCACGGATCGTGAGTCATTATCGCCGAGATATCTGAGTAATCAATTCTAGTCATTCCTCTCGGGTCTATGTAAAGCTTCACGGACTCGCAGCTACAGGATCGGGAATCGATTTTCCGCCGGGCACAAAATTCCGCGGAAACAGAGAATTTCTCCACCGGCAAAAACCCATCGAGCAAAGCCCATCGAGCATTTCTGGTGGCTGGTGGTACAAAAGCCTTCATCAAGGCTGAGCGAGCCCTGCGCCGGCTTCAATGGACTGGGTGAGGGAGGGAGCGAACGAAGAGACGAACGAACATCACCATTATCATTCTGGCGGGTCCATGTTTCCAAATATTATTTTCCGAGTCGGCATTATCCTTTCTCTACTCATGACACCTGCTTTCCGCGGGGAATTCGGTCCGCGACGGGAGACCACTCAATGCGAGGTGTAGCCTTCTCGCGGAGACCGTCCCCCATGGGGTTTCCCGAGAGCGCACCCGCGGCCCACGAAGAATATGTGTTCCCGGGAGGCGCACGTCGGGAGCAGTCGAATTGAGTATTGTCTATCGGAGGAGGCGCTTCTACGGTCACGAACGATGTCGAAACAGGTTTCTGATGCTCGACTAGCCGCTTATCCAAACTCACCTTGTTGGAATGTGGGGATCACAGAAGGGTTCAGAACTCCCGAAGTTTTCACCGAGAAACGCTTGTGCAGAGCTCGCGTGGAATGTTTTCCTCTCAACTCCAATGTCACACCCTGAGAGAGAGAGGAGCTTCCGTACGGCGACGAGGCGTTATTCAGTCAGACACCCGGACAGGCACGATGACGGCGACCACTGCGGACCGTCGACTCCTAAAGTCCCCTTCTCTCGGTATTTCTCTCCACAAGAACAGCACAGAGGGTTTGGTGGATTGTGATGGTGTCTGTGTTTACAACACGCCCTGCTCCTCACTTGCCGTCAGCGGCGGCGCTCCTGTGTCCGCCTGCAAAGTATGGAGCTCTATGGAGCGCCAAAATCCGTCGTGGATGGCGCGAAAATTCGAATGCGCTCCGATCAGCTCCGATGAGCCGGGGTAGTCCACTCCTTCGCGGTTCGACTTCGTCTTTTCTTGACTCTGAAATCGGGCCCGATCGACTGCCGATCGCTCTCGGGATTCCAAAAGGCGAGTTCGGGAGCGGTCATCATTTCTGTATCTAGCTAGGCGGAGTTGCCCGCGCGGGGAGAATTCTGTGGGGAAAGCGAAGTCCCGCTTTGTTGAAGTGGCTCGTTTCCATGCTGCAGATCAGGAGGATGCGCGATCCAGATGCCCACATAGTATACGAGAATTAGATTTCTTAGACAGATATCGTTGATGAACAGGTTTCTGACGGGAGCTCGCTATGTATGTGCAAAGATGGTGAGCCTCCTCGCCGCTGGGCAGAATCAACTGGGACTCACGAACATCCTCCGAGCCGTAATCGACGCGAGAGTATACCGAGAATCGTCAATCACCTGGGACGGAGCCCACCCTGGCGAGGAATACGGTAGTGTCGTGGACTGTCGAAAGGGGTGAGGGGTGAAGAAGCAAGGGGGCACTATGTATGAGTCGAGCGGATCTTGTTACGATAGCCATACCGGAGACCGTATCGGTCTGTCAGCGCAATCCGGAGAACAGTGGCGTACGCAGGATTTTTCTTGGGGGGGGGCTAGATCGGGTCTCCGCATGGGGCTGAAATCCAATA